ACCCTAAGCATCAGCATTAACAGTTATAATTATGGCTGTAAATATATCAGCCAAACATCTATACAGCCAGTGTTAACCTCCACCAAATAAGATGACATTTACTAATCTCAGTGGATGATAATTATCTGTTATGTCCAAACAATTTTCTTTTAGTTTCCCTGCTGGCTAGATGGGAATAAATAAATTCGGGAGGTAGAAGACAGTGTACACAATGTACCTGCCAATATGAAGCTGGAATGTGGGAGGCTGATTATAGCGTAGCATAAAGACAGGAAACAGGAAGAAATGGCTAGCCTAGAGCTAACCAAAGCTAGCAGATTGCTCCCATCTGCACCCCTATATCTCACAAAAGGGATAAGGTCTTTAAAGGTGCTGGTAGGACAATTTTCTTACCCTTTAACTAGGCTGTTCTAGATGTTAAACCCCTTTGTTTTTTGTCTTGCTCCTCCTGCAGTCTAAATTTGAACTCACGAGCAAGATATGTTTAGGGTACAACCGTCTCCTATAAATAATAATTTTGATAATCCTTTAAAATTTAAAAAAGCCGCAGATTAGGAAGGTTAAAGAAAAACAAACAAACAAAGTGTCTTAATAAGTTTTATGGCCATCACGTGTAATTAGAAAGGTTTCAGAGCACTCTGAGCCTTTGTGATTCTCCAGCCTGCTGGAATACTATAAACACCATTCATCCAGAGGATTTTGCCTCATTTGGTGTGTTGATGGTGGTGGGGAGTGCTATGTATGACGTAAATTCAAAATCTCCCACAGGGCTTCAGTGGGTTCAGATTTAATGTCTGTAGGGGAGAGTGGGGTAAAATGAGCCAGTAGACAAGCTGACCCACGACCTTTATCTGGGCGATCTCAAACACTGTTTGTCATTTGACCCTGGATTTAGTTAGCATTTTCCTTTTTTGTGGGAAAGAAACTAAAGTCTGTCAAAATCTTCATGAGTATCCCAAGTATCATTATCCATTTCGTGTCAGAAGCTAATTATCTCAGGTTTAAATGTTATCACATATGTTCATGGAGTCCCATTGAACAAAAACGGGGGACTGCATTACTGAAAGTGGAGCTCTGATTTGGTAGAGCAATTTTCACCACAGCATTGGGTTGAGCTCGCACAATATTATTCCAGGATAAATATGTAGTCTTAATCCTGTAAAGCCTGAACCATGAAATAATTCCCATAAAATTTTATTTTTATAGTGTTTTTTGAATCTTCTGACAACTTTTTTTTTAAGGAAATCAAATGTAAATTTGCATATCTAAGTTTTGATTTGTAGTCAGTACACTGACTTTAGCATCATCATAATGAATAACTGGCATTATATTTAATGTTGTATATGTCGCTTAAGATTTTTCCAAGTGATAACAGTAGAAGAAGAGGCAGGGGCTCTACTTTCTTTTTCCCCCCAACGTAGGCATCAGGATACATTTTTTCAAAAATTTCTAGGAATTTTGCATTTTAAGTAGCATTTATGTTACATGTTGGTGTTTATCACCTCAAAACTGAGTAAGTTTCCATTTGTTTCTTGAATCTCTGCAGAATCACTTGCAACTTGAGAGAAAATAGTTGTAAGACTTATTTAATAATCAAATCATTATTATCAGCATTATCAAGGGTTCAGTTATCAATATTTCTTTGAGTATTTAATTTTTTTAGCTCTACTTAGAAACTAATTTCTCTGATGACTCATTGTCCCCCTTTCATGTGGTAAGCTGATCCACGAAACCACTCTTTTGGACCTTGTATTTAATTGTGTGATTAAGTTAGGCTTAGTTCTAAGGTTTTAATTGATATGAATTTATGAATTTTCTGAATTTGTTGTTTTATTTTTGTCTCATATTTCCTTAGCTTTTGACTTACGGCAAAAAGAAAAGTAATTTGGATTAATTTTAAGTTAACTTGCACATCCATGGAGGCATTTTACTCCTGGAAACCGTTCCTCCCATCAGGACACCATAATATACCATAATGTTACTGTTGGAGCTAAGGTTTAGGTTTTTCTTGTTTTGACTGGATCCGCTGTCCTTATTCTGCATTGAGTTCTTTTCCTTTTTTAAGGGCCCAAACACCATCATGATCTGCATGGTAATCCTGCTCAACATCGGCCTGGCCATTCTCTTCGTTCACATTTTGTCATGAGACATTTTCCACCTCCTCAGGTAATAAACACACCATCAAAATGTACTCAGAAGAGGCGATACAGTAAAAATAAACATGAATCCACTAATATCAGTTTGCTACAGGTTAACGGCAGTGTCAGAGAGAGATGGCCTTCCTCCTCCTCCTCCTCAGTAAAGACCAGAGATCAAAGACAACACTGAGGAGGAACAGAAGCCTCACGCAGACCGCTGCAGCTCCTAGGATGGTGTTTGTTGATATGACTTCGTGAGGCTCTGCGAAGCTCCTCTCTTTCAAGAGGTTAGAGAAACTGAAGGACATTGAAGGGCTGGCACTGTTCAGTGCATCTAAAAATGATTTGTTTAGAGGGAAAAAAAATGGTGGGTGAATGGTAGGTTATGTCCCGGTGATGATGCTGAGGAAAGAAGGGTGGCACTCAAGAATTCAACTTTTTCACAGTGTGTCATGAGCGTGTCAACATTTTTGCAATATGGCTTTTAAATAAACACTTAATTGGCATTCAGACTATCTGGATCTCACAAGAGTGAATCAGGCACATAAGACAAACCCACCTAGATATGTTTTTAATCGCCAGACTGAATATTCTCTCTTGCCTTGAACTTGATTGTTTAGACACAAAAACTACAGCAGATGTGTGAAGGGTTTGGGCGTGATAACTGTTACTGTCAGGAGTAGGGATCTCGCGTGTGTTGAGTCTCATCAAGAAGCTCTCCGAGTGGTACTGCAAAAAAAAGGGGGGTTTATTTGCTGGCAACATTTTCAAAGCGTTGTGAGTTTCTGCAAAATCTTTGAGACTGTGGTGTACTACACTGTGAAGTTTTCAGTTTTCACTGGGATTTATGTGCATTTCCTGTCATTCTGCTGCTTTGCTTTGGGGAAGCTGATAAACCAAATAGAGAAGGGAAAATAAGAAGCTTATGAGTGCCGCTGCTGCTGCGTAGGTTCCTGTGGTGTCGTGCAATGCCGTTTAGCACCCAGGCAGCTTTAATACAGAGTTGTGCAAGTTTTGCAAGAGGAAAATGATGGCTGGAGTTTATCTAATTTGAAACTGTCACTGTATGTTGTTGTAAGGTTGCTGGATCTACATAATTATCTTGCAGCAGGGAAGTGGGTTGGGTTCATTATTTTATGTGTCCACTGCTTTATTTTCAGGGCCTGTTGTAAGATCAGCTTTTGTACACATGAGAACACTTTGTATGCATCTGTGTTTTTGTACCTTTTTTGAAGTGCACATCTTTACAGCATTCAGAATATTCTGTTGTAGGATTTTGGGGGGAGGGCTCATTAGTACAATCAGAAGTTGTCATCCTAAAATTTGTTTCCCAAATGAGTCAGATTACCTCATGTTTGTGAGATGGAGGAAAATAGAAAGATTCTTAACTCCATGTCTTATATTGAGAAGAGTGCTTTTATTTTCTTAACCCAGTTAGGATTTAAAAGGAACAGAGTTTTAGCTGCAGTTTTTTTTTTTGCCTTTGAGTTTGCAAATGTACACACAGACCACTAGTGAAAAAGTCTACAAGCATATAAAACTGTTTTGAAAGTAGTAAAAACCAGTTTAAGAAATTCCCCATTGTGGTTTACCTGTAATCTACCGATGCATTCAATGATTCACACCAGTGTCAATGCAAATGTGGAAGCCACTTTATTTTTTCTGTTTTAGAGCAGAAATACAGCTGAAGTCAAATAAAAACTTTTACACTTGTGAATCTTTTCTTTTTGATGATCTGTAACAGCTCCCACTGTTAGCTTTGAGATTTTGAACGTACTCGTCATCATTCATTACCCTGAAGAAATCCTGTCTAGTAACAGAAGAAGAAAGTATTTTTAAACACCACCTGTCTGCCAGCATGAGACACCCTCTGTCCCTGCCTTGTGCCACAGTGAATATCACACCCAATTTTAAACCAAGGCAGCGTTTGGCCTTGGTGGTTCTCAGTCAGGCATGGGTGTAATGGTAATGGTAAATATGGGTGTAACAATCCTGAAATCTACACCAAAAATCAAACGGTCACAAAATTGTTCAGGTATGGAGAAAATGGACAAACTGCCAGCAATAAAGACTTTTTTTTTTCGTTTTGTGTTATTCCTTTCACATATAGTTCCTTATTACAGAGCACTGGACTGGAAAGTGAAAAATAAAACTCAAACCAAGTCTTTTATTCTGTGATATTAAATGGAAAATGAATCAAACAGAATAGGTTTCCACTAAGATAACGCTATATGTAATGAAAGTGCCCTCACATACACAGCCTCTCCTCCTCTCTCGTGGGTTCTCTGTGTCTGGTCGCTGATGTCCTCGCCTTTCATACCAAAGACTTGTGTTTTCTTCCCAATGTTCTGTTATAAAACTATAAATACACCTGTTTTGGTAAATTTAAAAAATAATTTAATGCCAGACCATGAACAGTATGTAGATTGAATAATCCAGCTCAAGATCTGAGCCAAAACTGAGGTGTGAATTGAGCCATGATCAAAGGAGAATTGTCACACTATTAATTGTGATATAACCATTCTAATGCTGCAGGTCAGGTCAGGTGAAGTACCTGCAATAGTTTGACGTGTCAAGCACTTCAACATGGTGTTGAGTCAGCATGTGTGGAGCATCACTGCCCTCAAGTGACTAGAAAGGAGTATGAGTCCCTATGCTGGCAACATCCGTAAAGATAGATCAGGTCATGTTAAAAATACACAGTGGATAAAAGTATTTGATTCCAGCCAAGAAAGAATTTATTTTTTTGCTAAAACTGAATAATCTGAAAACTATAAAGAAATTCTACTATCCTGTAATTCATTAGCACAAATGGTGCGTTCAATTAAACTTTATGAAACTAGATGGTAGAGATTAAGAGAAGGAATATGCTAGCACTTAATACTCTTCTCCCTCATCGTCGTCTACCACGCTGTCAGCGCCCACCTCCTCATAATCCTTCTCCAGAGCTGCCATGTCCTCTCTGGCCTCGGAGAACTCTCCCTCCTCCATACCCTCACCCACGTACCAGTGAACAAAGGCACGCTTGGCGTACATCAGATCGAACTTGTGGTCGAGCCGAGCCCAGGCCTCTGCAATAGCAGTGGTGTTGCTCAGCATGCACACAGCCCTCTGGACCTTGGCCAGATCTCCACCAGGAACCACAGTGGGGGGCTGGTAGTTGATGCCAACCTTGAAACCAGTGGGGCACCAGTCCACAAACTGGATGGTGCGCTTGGTTTTGATGGCGGCAATGGCAGCGTTGACATCTTTGGGCACCACGTCACCACGGAACAGCAGGCAGCAGGCCATGTACTTGCCGTGGCGAGGGTCACATTTCACCATCTGATTGGCTGGTTCAAAGCAGGTGTTTGTGATCTCAGCCACTGAGAGCTGCTCGTGGTAAGCCTTCTCTGCAGAGATGACTGGAGCATAGGTGGCCAGGGGGAAGTGGATACGGGGGTATGGCACCAAGTTGGTCTGGAACTCTGTCAGATCAACATTGAGGGCACCATCAAAGCGGAGGGAAGCAGTGATGGAGGACACAATCTGACTGATCAGCCTGTTCAGGTTGGTGTAAGTAGGACGCTCGATATCGAGGTTCCTACGGCAGATATCGTAGATGGCCTCGTTATCTACCATGAAGGCACAGTCAGAGTGCTCTAGGGTGGTGTGGGTGGTCAGGAT